TCCCACAGTCCATAGATGTGCAGGCTAGGTGGATTGGCCATGCTAAATTGCTCATACAGTCCAGGGATGTGTAGTTTGGTTGGATTACCCATGGGTAATGCAGGGTTACAGGGATAGGGTGGGATGCTCTTTAGAGAGTTGGTGTGAACTGTGGGGCTGATGGCCTGTTTCCACACTGTAGGGATTCTATGAAATATTTTCTAACAGTAGCGACTAACCAGATTCCAAGACTTTAGCTGGGCGAAATATTTGATTTTCAATTGGAAACCTGTTGGAGAGAATCTTACATAAAAATGGAACAATATAAGACAATAAATTGGCAGATATTTGTTACAACATTTCTGACCTTAAACAGGGAGCTGAAATATTCTTTATCCCACTTGGCTGTGACTGATCAAAAATTCAGAGGGAGCTGGGAAATTGTGTTTCTGGAATTCTGAAACCTAGAAATGCTGCATAAGTGGACATTGTGTCAGATTTACTGACTACCTTAATGTCCCCAGATTCAATATGCTTCAGCCATAAGTCAGTTGACTTTCATGTTTTTACTGAATTGAATCCTGCCCATCATTCATCACCTTGTTCTGTTGGAGTGAATGGTTGTGGAGTTACATTTTCCCTTTCAGGTGTCAAGAGATTAATTGCAACACTTTGGTGACCAGATACATTCTAAGGATAGTTTCTGGGAGGAGCTAACTGGGTTCTCCTTGTGTCCTTCAGGTTCTCTATGTGTTCAACACAGAGCATGCAGTGTTTCAGAGATCGTCTTTCACGTTAGCTGAAGCTGTAATGTATATTTAGTCTAAGTTATATATAGTCATACGCAACCTGGAAACAGACCCTTTGGTCCAACTCATCCACTTCAACCAGGTTCCCCAAACTTAAACTTGCCCCAATTCCCTGCACTTGGTCCATATCCCTCCAAAGTTTCCTATTCACGTACCCGTACAAATGTCTTTTAAATGTTGTAACTGTACCTGTATCTACCACTTTCACACAGAGGCTGGTGCATATATGCAATGAACTGTGAGGAAAAATTGCCCTCCGGTTCCTTTTAAAATTGTCCCCCCTCTTACCTTAAAAATATGCCCTCTTGTTTTGAAACGCCCTACCTTAGGGAAAAGACCTTTGATATTCACGTTATCTATGCTCCTCATGATTTACTCCTCAACCTCCTACACTCCAGCGAGAAAAGTCCCAGCCTATCAAGCCTCTCCTTATAACTTAAACATTCCAGTCCCAATAACGTCTTACATCCTGATTGTTTCATAGGGGCAATTGTGTACCTTGGATATAATGCAGCATGTTATTAAATAATGTGTAATAATCCAATCTGCTGTTTTATCAAGGTCAAACTGATATTCTACTGAAGACATGATTATGACCATTCTTCCTAAGTAACATCAATGAGCTAGACAAATACCAGCAAAGCTTTTGGTGGCAGAAAATCTACTCAAAACTTCTCAGAATCAGCTATTGTAACACATCCCAGAGCCCCATCCCTCTTTCCCTCTGGACTGATGGCATGTCCCAGACTGGAACCGAGCTCCTCCTCTTAAGGGGACTTGCTCCGGTCTGAGTGACACCAACTGCTGCTGAAGGGACAAGTCACACTCCATTCACTTAACTCTGTATTCAGTGTTGAATGGCTGCAGGCAAGCAATGGGAATGAAGGTGACAATTCTCACAACTTTGTAGCAGGTGAAAGGCAAGGAGGATAAGAATGACACCATTCCAATTAATCGAATCTAATGTTTTTAGATCACTCGTTTCAGTCTCAAAGTTCCAATTCTTTTAACAGAGCATTATGATACCTGCCCTCCCACTGGAAACCCCTTCATTGCGATCGGGCATCAGGATAATGGAACTGTCATGTTCTCTCACAAATAAAACATCGATAAAACATCTCAATAGAGAATAATCAACGATACCACTGAGAAATGTACCGTGAGATACTTGTAGCTCAATTTCAGTAGACACTGAAATGTGGCCAGATTGTTCAACACCACAGCTGTACCATCCTGCATCTTCTGAGCGAAGATCCTCCATTGTAACAGAAAACATATTTTGTGTCTTGTTATCGATGATCGATATTCTTCCTCGCTGTCCATGATGGTCATTTGATTTTATTAAAACAGAGCACTGGCGACTCCAAAATTTCACATACAATTGTGACCATTTGTCATAGAGACAATCTATTGTGATAGCTCTTCCCAAAGCTCCTGTTACTTTATTTTTTGCTTGCACTACAGTTGAACCTGAAAAGACAATTAATTAATCAAACAGAAATGAACTTCTCAATAAAATCAGATACATTTAATGTGAGTTGCTACTGAGTACAGAGGAATCTGTCCACTGCATCATATGGTTTGTAGTGAAATCCATTTCTTGTGCATCCAATTGTAACAAGGAGACCAGCATTCTCTGAGAGATGTAACTTTCAGAGTACACTCAGTTGAAGAGTTGTTTCGTGGTGACATTCGATTTGGCCCAACAACAGGATTTGTGTAAAATAGGCCCAAAATGGGGCTTTTTATATGATTTTCACTTAGTACAGTTTCAGGGTCACTGAAGAGCATTTCCAAAGAATACAGATTGGGGACTGAAGATTGCTGAGTTTTGAAGGAGACAGAGACTACACTCCTTCAAAGTACTGATGTTTAATAATGCAGTAGTAAAGACAAAGCAACAGAACTGCTTGTGTACTGCAGAGAGAGCTTTGAATGAAGTTCAAGGGCAGTTAGATATGGTAGTGCAGCGTTGGATGTGGCCGTCAGTGATCTCGAATCATTGTGAAGGACCCAAAGGCTGAGATCCTCATGGATAGCACATCCAGAAATGTCATCACTCAGCAGGTAAAGAGTACACTCACAGAAAGGGAATGAGAGACCTCGAGTGAAAAGTCTCGGCAGGGAAGACTGCAATACACCGAGCTGTCTCCCTTTCTAATAGAATTTCCCTTTTGGATCCTGCTGAGGGGAGATGTGTTCTCAGGTGAATGTAGAGACAGCCAAATCCATGGCACCAGGAGTGGCTCAGCACGTGATTGTAGGGAGAGAGGGATTTAGACTCTGGAGGCATTGGGTCCCATTCTGGCGAAGATGGAATCTGTACAAGCTGGAAGGGTTGCATACCAGCAGGACCAGGACCAATGGCCTCTGAGGGCCATTTGCTCGTTCCGTGGGGAGAGGTTAAACTAAAGTGGCAGGGCACCATGAGCATGAATCATATCCTCATGTCACCTATGGGGACATCGAACTTTACTTACAATGTGTGTTTTTTGAAAGGGAATTGATCAAGCCAAAATTATCACAGATGTGAATTCAGTGGACATTTGGAGAGAGAGATTGGAATGTTGTACCTAACGGTTTGTGAAGGAAACTTCAACAGGATTGACTTAAAGGGAGAAATAAACAATAAAGCGAAGTGTGTTTGCCTTGGAGTTATCTCAGACTATGATCATGACTCACAGAAATAATTTTTTTTTAAGTCTACCCCTTTCATTTATACGTATAGATAGCAGTTAAAAGTGAACTTCACTCCCGGTGTCTCTCCCTTCCATTATTAATATTTCTTGTGTTCAGTAAGTAACAAACTCACCTTTTGTTAGCTCAAGAAACCCCCTTTAAATGGACTCCTTTGAGAACATAAACTCATTTGTTCTGGCAAAAAGGGATCCACAAGGGAAAGGAGACATAGCACTAAATTAATGCAGATATTAATGAAAGTAAATAACTGAGGTTCTTGAAGCTCCAAGTAATGCTTACCATGTCTCCCAATTTGTGCCAAATAACTGCAGTTGCTCTCTGATCTGTGGATGACTGACACTTTAACCATTTCACTGGATTTTCTTCCCTGAGTATTTGATGCTGTGCAGTAATATCGATGATGTTGCAGTTTGAATAATTGACAATGTAGATCCAGTTTATTATTCTCAGAAATCATTGAATCTTCAGACGTGGTCTTTTCATACCATGTGTATCGAATGGGAAGGGATCCACGGGCAGACTCACAGGAGATAGAAACTGAATGTTCAAAACATGAGATATTTGATGGTGATAAAAATCGAATGAGAGGAAGAGACACAGGATCTGTGGGAAAGAAGCAAATGATCAGATACTGACTGAGAATCCAAAAACAAAATATTCTGCAAATTTCAACATTTCTATCTTTCATCCAAGTCTTTTCATGTTGGAATCTCCACAGTTGCATTCCAGTATCAGCTAAATGTTGCATTAATTGAGTGATTAAGACACTTCCCGTCCCATGGGACTCCCTCACACACAGACTGTGAAGCTGCAAAACACATTTAGAATCTGTTTGAGGTGATCTCTTGAAGTGCCAGACCATACAGGGATATGGGCAAAGTGCTGGAACATGGGACCATCATATTGAGATGCTTGTCGACCAGCATGGACATGATGGGACAAATGTCCTCCTTGCATGTGTAGTGCTATATAGCTCTAAAATAGATGTTGGCAAGACTGACTGGCTTCCAGAATTTCTGAGAACTGCTGTGTTGATCCCAGAACTTGTGACATTCTGCAAGCTACTGTGACCATATTAGTTTTGAGGATCAGCATGTTGAAGATCTGACCAGAAGACTGGTTATTTTGGATATACTGTATATGTAAAAGAGTTAACTGATGACCTTGTTGTAAAGAACCTTGAGGGATGAATGATCAGAATATGACAGAATTATACATTATGTCTGGGAATGAGGTATTTCCATCTGAAGCAAGATGGAATTAGGAAAATTATGAAAGAGACAGGCACAAATTGGTTGAGCTGGATTGGGGAAGTACATTGAAAGGCAGGACAGTATATTACTAATGGTGAGTCTTTAAAGATCTATTTCATGACTTACAGCAACAACATATTTTATTCAAAAAAAATATAAATCAACCATAGCTGATAAAAGGATGTAAAGCACTTGCGGGATCACAACACGAGGCTCATAAAGTGGCCAAAATTGTTAGAAATCTGAGGACTGGGTTTTTTTTCAGTCATACGGGAAAGGAGGACCTTGAAACTGAAGAGGGCAGAACAGAATACAAATGCAACCTAACAGAAAAAATAAAATTTTAAGCGTCTTTAGGCATATATAAATAAATAATTTGACAATGACAAACATGGATCTGTGAAAAGCAGCATTGGGAGAATGTATATGAGGAAATGGAGAAATAGCAGTGGAGCTAAATGAGTAATTTGTGATGATTTTTGCTGAGGAAAATGCAAGAAAAGAACCTAAAATAGAGATCCAAGTGTGAAGGGAGAATGAGGAGTTGAAGCAAATTAGCACTGCTGAGAACGTTGTGCTGGAGAAATTAATGGAAGGTGATAAATCCCCAAGGCCTGATAGTCTGCACTCTAAAATGTCAACAAACTTGTCAATAGAGATAGATGGTGCATCGGTAATTATCTTCCAAATTTCCAGATATTCTGGAATTATTTCTGCAGACAAGAAGCTTGCAAATGTCACCCCACTACTTATGGAAGGGGAAAGGAGGAAAATAGGGAACTATTGATCCATCAATCTTACTTCAGCAGGAAGGAAAATGTTAGACTTTACCATAAAATATGTGACAAACGGTAATTTGAATAAAAACATGATTTGATGGTGTATAGTCAGCATGGATTTGCGAATGGACAATTGTGTTTTACCAACTTGTTGGAGCTTTGTCAGGTTATTACCATAAACTTGACCAAGGGAAGTTAATGGATGAAATGCATTTGGATTTTGAGAAGGCTTTTAAAGATGACCCCAAAAGAGTTTGGTTTGCAAAATTGAAGCACATGGTATCAGAAGTAATGCAATGAAATGGATTGATGATTGGCGAATAGTCAGAAAATAGAAATTATGAATAAATTGAGCATTCTCACACTTGCAGGTTGTGACTGATGGGGTACTATAAGGATCAATATTTGAGTCCCAGCTTTTTTCAAGATATATCAATGATTTCGACATGGGGACTAAATATAATATTTCCTAACTTGCAGATGACACAAACAAATGAGGATTATGTGTTGTGAGGAAGATGCTGAACATCTCCAGGAGGATTTTGACAGGTTTAATGATTGGGCAACAGTTTGGTCAATGGAACATAATGTGGATAAATGTGAGGCTACCACTTTGTGGGAAGAACAAATGAGCAGAATTACTTATAAATGGTGAGATGTTGGAAATGTAGATGTGCAAAGTGATTTGGGTGTCCTTGTCAGTAAGATACTGAAGGCTGACATGCAGGTGCAGCAAGTTGTTAGGAAGGCTAATGGAATATTAACCTTTATTACAAGAGAATTTCAGTACAGGAATTGAGAAATCTTGCTTCACTTGTTGTGTCGGATCATAGATAGACTGCACCTTAAGTATTTTGTGCAGTTTCAATCATCTTATTTCAGGAAAGATATTATTACCATAGAAGAGTACATCATAGATTTACCAGACATTTTTTGGATATTTAAAGTAGAAGTTGATAAATTTTTGATTATTAATTGTGTGAAGAGTTAAGAGGATAGTTTGGTTTAACCAAATTGCACTGTTTGATCAGCCATGATTTTATTAAATAATGAGGCAGGTTCAATAGGCTGAATGACCTCCTTCTGGTCCTATGTTCCTACCAAGTATCAGCATTGCTATAGCACCTTGGGATATTGGAGCATTCATGGTTTCTCCCAGATAAAGCACCGGTTAGTCATTTCATTAGAGATTAATAAAGGCAATCGATCAGAACTGTACCATAAAATACTTCGAGCTTCACAGCATATAATTCATCTTTAATTCGTCTATTAATACCACAGCTGTACCATCCTGCATCTTCCGTACGAAGACCCTCCATGGTAACAACAAATACTCCTTGTGTCTTGTAATCTTTGATTGACATTCTCCCTCGCTGTCCACCTGGATCGGTCGTTCTCACCAAGTATGAGCAGTGCACAGTCCAACCATGACACCAGTATTTCATGTTGTCCTTGAACCGTGCGTTGTAGTTACAATTTATTGTGATTGATCTTCCCACAATTCCTGTTACTTTCTCCTTTGACCCCACAGCTGATAATGAAGCTGGGGAGACAATGTTTCAGAAATTGAATTAGAATTAAGTTCTTATTACAAATAAAGACATTTTAATAAGTTTTAGCCCTCTACACAGAGGAAATTCTGCACTGTATCTGTGACAAAGATATGACCATATAAATTAGGAATTACAATCTGGAACAGTAAAGCAGCAGTGGGACATTCAGTCCTTGAAGCTCTTTGCCATTCAGAAGTTCATGGTCGATTTGTTTGTGTTCCGAATTTCACGTTCCCCATTTATACTGATAACCTTTGATTTTTGTCTCACAAATATCTATCCCCCTCCACCGCCATCTGTGGCAGACAGTTCTCTGAAGAAAAACATTTCTTCCCATCACTGTCTTTAAAAGGTGACCCCTAATTGTAAAACAGCGTCCCCTGAGGGACTTACCAAGAAGTGTAAACATAGTTTTTGAGATGTAACCTCCCCAATGTCCTGTAACACTGAAGCACAATGTCCTCAATGTTATATTCAATTCCTCTAGTAATAAAAAATAGCTTTGTAATAGCTTTCTTCATCACATGTTGGTACCTGCATTCTAACTTCATGTGACTCATGTACTAGAACACCTCGATCCCTCTGCACCTTGGCTTTCTGCATTTGTATAAACTTAAATAATCCTCAGCTCCTCCAGGGTTTTGACTTGGCGACAGTGAAGGAACAATGATGTAGTTCCATGCCAGGACGCTATGTGATATGAACATCAGTTTTGGAGCTCAGAAATCAAAACAGCCCCATGAAATTGACATCAGTTTTGAATTATTAATTTCAAAACAGTTATACATTCTTTTTGGATACTTCTGTGAAAGTTTCTCTTTAAAATAAAATGAAAGTAGGAATCCCTGTGAAACACTGACCTTATAGTGGCCTCAGTCAGATAGCAAGTGCCTCTAAGCTCTCAGTTGCATGTCATTAGAAAAGTGTTTATACTGTGCTGCTTCATGACAGGTTTATAAACACTGACGATAATTAGCTTGCAACTAAAACAAGGTTGCTGGAAAAGCCCAGCAGGTCTGGCAGAATCTGTGAAAGAAAAAACAGAGTTAAAGTTTCAGGGTCCGGAAGGGTTACCGGACCTGAAATGTTAACTCTGTTTTTTCTTTCACAGATGCTGCCAGTCTGCTGAGCTTTTCCAGCAACTTTGTTTTTGTTCCTGATTTACAGCATCTGCAGTTCTTTCGATAATTAGCTTGCTTTTAGTTCAGATTAACGTTAACTTTAGTTTGCAAAACTCAGACTGAAAAGCCTTTGCTCAGTTCTGTGATGTCATTGCTGGGTTTAGACGTAAGTATATTTTCTCTCCTGGAACGTTATTTTTCAGAGCAGTCGCTGTACAATTTACCTCAGCAGAATGGTAGATTGTAAACATTCCACATCAGGAGAGATTGGTTAGAAAGTTAAAAAAAATTTAAGCTGTCAGTTTTGTGAATATTCATGTAAAACATTCACACTGTTCACAGGAGAAAAACAAGGAATAATCATTCAAGAAAGATGAAAGAACATCAATGTTTTATATAAAGGGATAATTTCTCTGAATTTGAATCACTGTAAATTGATAGTGTTGGGAAACAGTTGAAAACTTTGTTTTGTTGTGTGTTTTAAAATTCTTCTAAACTGTTTCCCTGGACAGATTGCCTTGTTTTTTAATTTCATCTTTTGTGTAATAAATGTTTGTTCTGTTCTTTTGAAAGTTCAATAACCTTCTGTGGCTATCTTTCAATGACTAAACACTGCATGAACTGAAATAAAAAAATAAGTTATCAAATCTGATTTCTTTCTGAGATTTGACTTTTCTGATAGTTTCAAAAGGCGAGCTCAGAGCAGCAATGTACTATTAACTCTGCAGTCTCACTGTCCAGAGGACCAACACTCACTTTGTTTATTCTTTTCCTTTCAAAATAGTTATGGAAACTCTTGCTATCTGTTTGTACCAGCTTGGTCTCGTGTTTATTTATTTGTCCTGATTAATCTTTATGTCATTCTTGATGTTCTTGGTATTCTGACAGGTCATCTGACTTGCCATTCAACTTAATGCAACAATATTCTTTTTCCTTAAGGTTGATGCTTTGCCTAACTTCTTCAGTTAGCCATGGAAGGTAGGTCTTGGAATTTCACAATTCGACTTGGAATTTTTTTATCGTAGGCATCTCATTACAATGAGTATTCTGAAAAATCCCTTACAGTGTCTGCCACAGCTTCGTTACTGATCGACTTGCTAACCTTATATCCTAGTTCACTTCAGTTAGCTCAGCTATCATGTCCGCAAAGTTGCCCATATTTAAGTGTAAAATAACAATCTTAGAACAACACTTCTCCTTTTCAAACTGGATATAAAATCAGAATGTGGTCACTGCTATTCAGAGTTGCTGTAATTCTGAGGTCATTAATTAATCCTGTCACATTATACAATACCAAATACCTGCTCTCTGCTGATCGCTGTAAGAAACTATCTCAAAAACAAACTAAAAACCCCTCATCAAACAGATTAAAATTTCTCATGGTTATTACAATCCCCTAAGTCACACGCCCTCAAAAATTTCTTCTTAAATATACCCCATCAAATGATTACTGTTCAGGGATTTGTAAATCATTCCCATAAGTGACCTCTTTACCCAAATTATTCCATATCGCCAACCAAACCGATGTTACACCTTGATCTCCTGAACCAAGGTTATCTCTGACTATTGCACCAATTGTTAGACAGTAGGCGATACATCACCTTAGGTTTGAAGTTAGAAGTGAGTCTAGTTACTGCAAGAGATTGGATAAATTTGGTTTGTTTTATTGGTACAAAGTCAATTGAGAAGGATCTTGATTGAGACATCATAATATTATGTGGGAATATTTTGGGAAGACAGGAGGAAACATTTCCCCTTGATGGAGGATTCATTGACCAGGGGCATAGTAATGTTGGGGTTGGAGGTTTGGAGGGGATCGGAGAATTTTCTTTATTCACTGGTGCAGAATTGAGGGACAGAATGGCCTTTTTTTCTGTGCTGTAGATGTGTATGACTCCATTATTCTCTGATCAGTTCGATATTCCCTGGGATTTAATGGAATGAGTGGTGATCCAATTAAAAGATATAAAGAGGTCAAGGGACTTGACAGGGCCAATGTTGGAAATATATTTCCCTGGCCCAGAGATTCTAGAACACAGGATCACATTCTCTGAAATAGGGATCAGGCGTTTAGAACAAGATGAGGAGAAACTTTGTCACTCAAAGGTTGTGAACCTTTCAAACTCTCTACCCAAGAGAGCTGCAGGCAATCAAATATTCAGCATATGGGTGAATGAACCTTTTTCATAAGCGATACAGGGCTTGTGCAGGCAAGTGGAGTTGAGGGAGGTCAGCCATCATATTGTTCAATGATTCAGCAAATTTGAAGCATCAAATAGCTGACTCCTGCTATTTCTGAGGTTCTTCTATGAAAGGTATCCTTAAAAATTTCAGTGAAACTAAAAACATACGATTAATTTGGAGTGGATGCAAAAACACCATTTACCACCTTGGAGCTAAATAATGGTGTGAAAATGATTCCTTACTGATGGAGCACTGTGTATAAAATGTGTGTCATTGAGGAGCAGTGACGTTGACAGCCTCAATATTTCAACAGCTGCACCTTAAAGAACAGAAACAATTGCAAACTCGGGGCATGTTCTCTTAGATTCAGTTTTACCACTGCAGACTTGAGTTTCTGCTGGACAATAAATTGCATGCAAAAGTTCACTTTTAATGGACTAAATATGTTACGTTTGTAATTTTTTTACGTTATTCATAACACTTGCAAAATATAAAATAGTGGCCTATATTTGATATTCACCATGAATAATGTGCTTTAATATATATTGGTAAATATTTTTGAGATACGACAATACAGATAAAATAAGTATAGGACTTCACCCAAACATTTATCTTGTGTATTCTGTGCCTGTATGTGTCCCTGAGTATTTAAACATCACGGCTGAATAGCAGGTACACGAGGCTTAACCCAATACTGACTATCCAAATATCCAGCTCGGTCTGTCACTCACCGGGCACCGAATAAATGAGTAGAATAAAGCTCCACATTTTCTTTTCCTTGCAATGTTCAGATCGGCTCTTGTTATAACTCACCCAGCCCTGAGTGAT